TTAGCCTACTAGTATTATAGGCATGAGCCATGAGCCATTAGTTCTTATCTTTTTTTTTTTTGTATTAGAATCCATTAGTTAACAAATGGGTTGATTATGACATTTCCATGTAAGTACATAATTTATTCCAATCAGTTACATTCCTCATAATACTTTCCAGCTTTTTTCTTTCTGGTTGTGGCCTGGGTGCCGTCCCTGACCTCTTCAGTTCAAGGCAAGCACTCTACCACTTGAGCCACAGCGCCACTTCTGGTTTTCTGGTGGTGAATTGGAGATTAGCTAAAGGAATGCAATCCAATGTATCAGTTTTTCCTTTTTCTTTTTTCTTTCTTTTTTTGTGACTGTCCTGGGGTTTGAACTCAAGGCTTGAGTGCTGTCTCTTTGCTCAAGGCTGGCACTTTACCAGTTGAACCACAACTCGACTTTCAGCTTTTTGGTGGTTAATTGGCTATAACAATATTTGTTTCTATGACTTTATCAGCTGTGTTTGAGGCAGTATGTGTACTCTTTTGGGAGATCTGACTTGGGTGTCACATTGATTTTATCATTCTTCACATGAGTAACAGTCCCTATTTTAAAAAACTTCAGAATTTACTTATGAATTTTTCAACCAGAGATCCTTCCAGAAAGTACTTATCTAGCTGGATAAAGGATATTAACATAGGAAATAATGAAAGAAAAAAAAGTGTCTAAATAGCGTGTTTTCATATAAGATAGTATTTATTGAATACCTACTATAAAGTAATTTAATCTTTACAATAGTTATTTAAAATAGGCTCTTGCTTTATAAAAGCCCAGGCTATCCTGGTAGTTCACCCTGTATTTCAGTCTGTTCTTGAATTCACTTCTTACTCAGCTTCCTGATTGCTAGGGTTTCCTGTCTCCTTTTACCAAAAAATGGATAGATAGGCTCATCAAGGCTAAGTAAAGGGAAGCAGCATCTGATCTTTTGTTTCAAAGTAGAGAAACAAAGAATCTAACCCAGGTTATAACTGGGAGTTGAAACGATTTAGATTAGTGGAGGCAGAAGGGAGCAAACTGGAAGAGACTGGTATTTATTTTTATTTGGAAGAGGTTTCATTATAAGGGGTAGAAACAGGGGATCCCAGGTAGTGGTGGTAGTTGAACCACAGGCTTTGGATTTGGAGGGAATTTTGGGAGCCAGTGATTGTTCATAGATACATTGCTGTTCAGGAAGGTTGGTTTGATGTAGTACATAGTAAATTGAAGAGAAAGAGGCACTAGTTAAAAAACTTCATGCAGCTTCTGATAAGGAGAGTCCATAAAAAAAGAAATTAAGATGTGAATTGGGAAATGGGAAGGGAAGAATGGCTTTTACAAATACTTAAAAAGAGCAGATTGAATTTTGGGCCTGCAATATCCCATTTTTACATTAGTAACTGGACCCTTAGTATGTGAGGGTGGAGGTGGTGTAAGATTTTTCTTTTAAATGCATTACAGCTTATTGATACACCTTGCTTTTTGGACCGAATCTTCATCTCCATGAGGGTTATTGATAAAAATGTAATCTGATTGGCCTTGGAGCAAAGGTGGAAGTTGCATGATGGGAAAGAGTACTTGGAATGTATTTCTGTTTTTGTTTTTTCAAGTCCTGGGGCTTCAGGGCCTGGGTACTGTGCCTGAGTTTCTTTTGCTGAAGGCTAGCACTCTACCACTTGAGCCACAGCTCCACATCTGACTTTTTGGTGACTAATTGGAAATGAGTCTCATGGATTTTCCTGCCTAGACTGGCTTCAAACCATGATCCTTAAATCTCAGCTTTCTGAGTAGCCAGTGGCTAGGATTACAGGCAGGAGTCACTGATACTGAGCAACATTCTTTTTTCTTTTTGGTTTGGTCTTGGGGCTTGAACTCTGGGCTTGGGTGCTGTCCTTGCACTCTTCTGCTCAAGGTGAGTGCTCTACAGCACCACTTCCAGTTTTCGAGTCGTTTATTGGCGATAAGAGTTTCATGGACTTTCCTGTCCAGGCTGGCTTTGAACTGTCATTCTCAGATCTCAGTCTCCTGAGTAGGTAGGGTTACAGGCAGGAGCGACCGGCGCCCTGCTGCAACATTCTTTATTTGTGAACAAGGAGGAAGCATGGTTGGTACTGCACAATATAATTGTTTCTTTAGAAATCTTTTAACTGATAATATAAATAGAATGATAGAATAATATAAAAGAAGAATCCTAAACTTCTGTTTGTAAGGTTAAAAGGTTGCTCAGCTTTTTGGGCATAGTATTGATAAATTGAGAATTTAGTCTTATATCTGGAGAATGAGTCCTTTCTGCAAAAAAGCAGTTCCACTGGGCACTGAAGAAGAAAGCCTGGCTTGATTTTCCACCATCTATGAGACTATACTGCAGAATTCCAATGAAAAGTTTTTATTTTTAAGCTAAGGCATAGTTTTTATTCAGAAAGAACTGACAACTTTATATTAAGGACTTCTGAAATTTGTTAGACTCATATTTCGTGTGTGTGTGTGTGTGTGTGTGTGTGTGTGTGTGTGTGTGTGTGTAGTTTGGGTGAATCAGTTCTTTAGTGGACCTAGTGCCCAGGCCTGGAGTTCACGCCCCATGACTGCCATACATACATACATAAATGAGGAAGCTGGTGGTTCTACACTGGAAAAAATGATAGCAACAAAATAAACCCAAACAAACAAAAAACTAATAAAAAAGTTGTGTTTGCTCTTCCTGTGTAGTTAGCAATTTCTATCTGATGTTACTATTATTTTCCTTAATATTTCTTGGATTTTTTTTTTTTTTTTGGTTGGTCATGGGGCTTCAACTCTGGGTCTGGGCACTGTCCCTGCGCTCTTCAGCTCTCAAGCTCTACCGCTTGAGCCACAACACCACTTGCGGTTTTCGAGTGGTTTATTGGAGATAAGAGTCTCACAGACTTTCCTGCCCTTTCCTGCCCGGGCTGGCTTTGAACTGAGATCCTCAGACCTCAGCCTCCTGAGTAGCTAGGATTACAGGCATGAGCCACTGGCCCCGGCTTCTTGGATATTTTCTATAGATAGTAAAAGTAGTAGATTCCCATTATGGGCCTAAAATTTTGGGATTTATGTAATTATATTTGTTTTCAGTTTCTATGACTTTATCAGGAACAGTTTTTCAGAGATTGATCTCAGCACATTAAGAAATGTGAAATACTGTGTTTTTTAGTTTCTGTGGAAAAATAAGTATATAATTTCATATTGGGTTAAAATGCTGGGGTTATGGGCAGATATTTGTGGTGGTAATTTTCTCTTAACTGCTAAGCAATCCATTTTTCAGTTCCCTCATCCTTAACTCATCTATCCAGAATTCCTAGAGGACCTGTGCAGCAGCCCCCGGAGGATCGGATCTTCCCTCCCACTGTCTCAGCAGTCTACAGCACGGTAAGCTGTCAATCATACTGTGTCTTCTTTTGCATGAGAACTGGGTTTACAGTGTTTGTTATACTGACACAGTAGGTTTTGGCAAAAGGTTCAAGAGTAGAATTAACTGTGTGTGTGTATGTGTGTGTGTGTGTGTGTGTGTGTGTGTGTCATTATCTCAATCAAAGAAGTATAGGTGATAAGACATTATAATAGATTGGTTGTACATGCCCTCCTCTTTTCCATAAATATTAACATCTTGCCTTATATTGTGATCTTTTGCTTTTCTTGCAGTATTGGCGTTTTAACCTAGGACCTATTTACAACTTGCAATGAGTTTATTGGCACATCAGCTTATTATAAAAGTAAATGCTAAGGGCTGGGAATGTGGCTTAGTGGTAGAGTGTTTGGCTAGCATGCCTGAAGCCCTGGGTTCTGAAGCCCTGGGTTCTATTCCTTAGTACCATATAAACAGAAAAGGCCAGAAGTGGCACTGTGGCTCAAGTTGGTAGAGCTCTATCCTTGAGCCAAAGAAGCTCAGGGACAGTGCCCAGACTGAGTTCAAGCCCCAGGACTGGCAAAAAAGTACAGGTTAAGCCTATAGTTGGGCAAAATTATAACCAATAATATATTGGTTATGCATTATAAGTAAATTGCTTGCCTTGTGTTTGGTTCAGGTTTATTGAAGTAAAATTTATATAAAGTAAAATTCACTTGTAATGTTTTGCTGTATAAGTCTTAAACATACAGTCATTTAATTCTCAGTAATCAAGATACAGAAAAGTTTCTCATCTTTTGCCCTTTTGTAATCATCTCCTTTTCACAACTGTTTTCCTTTTTATTCATTTTTACAAAATGACATACAATTTGTCTGAATTAATTAACTTAGCATATTTCTTTTGTTAAAGTTTCTGATTTTAAGATACTATGCTTCAAAGGGAGATGAGGATATCAGTAAGACCAGCGCAATAAGCAGGGATTATTCTGGTTAAAATATAATATATACACATGTGAAATTGGTGAAAAACTCAACAAACAAAAAGAATATTTTCTCAAATTGATGAAAATGTTTATATGTGCTTTTCTAAGAATTCTATTTTTTCACTTTTGAAATAGAAATTGTAAAGCAGAAAAATGGATTTTTAAAAATGAGTTAAGGGCTAGCTGGATGGAAATGGTGTTCTCACATGCATTAATCTTAGGCCCTTGTGAAACAGATTAGGCAGATTGTGATTGAGGGCCAGCCTGGCCAAAACACTAGTGGGATCCTGTCTCAGTCGATAAGCTGGGCATATAAACCAGGCATATAAGCTGGGCATAGGGGCATCTCTTTGATACCGGCTATGTGAGGGGTTTGATGTCTGAGGCTAGTCCTGAGAAAGACACTGGAGATACTTCCCGAGAAATAACTAGAGCAAAAAAAAAGTTAGAGGTCTGACTCAAGTCAGAGAATGCCTGCTGAGCAAGTTTGTAATCCCTAGTACTGGGTCTACTGGTGCAGGGGAAAGACCAGTTCAGCTATATTTAATAATAATGGGTCATCAGTAGATTCTCAGTGTTCTCAATGAAGTTTTGATTTCCCTTTAGGTTACACAAGTAGCAAGACAGCCTGGAGCCCCAACACCTTCCCCTTATTCAGCCCATGAAATAAACAAGGGGCATCCAAATCTCTCTGCAACGCCCCCGGGACATGCATCGTCCCCTGGACTCTCTCAAGTAAGAAACTATGTAAAAACATTCCTGGTTTTGTAGAGCACACTTCAAAAAAGTAAGATAAAGGATTGCTTAAAGAGTGATTTTTATGTGTGTGTGTCGGTCATAGGGCTTGAATTCTGGGCCTAGGTGCCATCCCTCAGTTCTTCAGCTCAAGGCAAGTGCTCTACCACTTGAGCCACAGTGCCACTTCCAAAGAGTAATTTTTATTTATTTATTTATTTATTTGGGTCCGGTCGTGGGCCTGAACTCTGAGCCTGGGCGCTGCTCCTCAGCTCTTCAGCTCAAGGCTAGTGTTCTACCACTTGAGCCACAGCGCCACTTCCGGCTTTTTTCTTTTTGCTTATGTGGTGCTGAGGAATCGAACCCAGGGCCACAAGCATGCAAGGCAAGCGCTTTACCACTGAGCCACCTTCCCAGCTTCAGTAATTTTTATTTTTGCATTTTTTCAGACACCCCTCCTGAAGTGACCACTAACAATTTTATACTTTTTGCTTTGGAATGATGAAAATTTTGTTTCCCAGGGGTTGGAGGTGTGGCTTATTTGGTTGAATGTTAGCCAGTAAGCAAAAATGTCAAGATACCAAATTTGAATCCCTATTTTGTACCAAAAAGAAAACTTTCCCTCTGGTTAAGAAATTAGAATAGGGGCTGGGAAGGTGGCTTAGTGGTAGAGCGCTTGCTTTGTATTACAATGTTTACTAGAAATACCCTTTGGGTCACTTAATTAGCTTTTCAGTTTTTAATCTACTATGGTTTCTCTACCTCTCTTTTTGTGGAAAGTTGGTGATTATTTTCTACACTTAAGAAAAGAAGTTGTCTTTTTCTCTTAAGTAACTTCGGTGAAATTTTTTTGTTAGTTGGTTTTGTTTTTTTATTTGAAAGTGGGTTATTGGAATTTGTTAGGCTTAAACTTTTTTTTTTTTCCTTTTCTTGTCCTGGGGCCTGACCTCAGGGCCTGGGCATGGTCTCTGAGCTTCTTTTCTTCAAGGCTAGCACTCTACCACTTGAGTCTCAGCATTACTTGCAGCTTTTTCTGTAGGCCTAAATTTTTATGTTTACCTATAGGGAACTATAAGCAAGCTGTTATTTATCAGGGACAAAACAGACATTGAGAGGACAAAGAGGCAGTGAAGATGTCATTGTGTGTTCCTTGTTACTTTAAGCTGTTTCCCAGTTTGAGGTTTATCTCTCACCATCTAACTGGCCATGTTTTTTTGTTTGTTTGTTTTTTTAATGCTTCAAAGCTAGCTAGACTTGCAAAAGCCATTATTGGAATGAAGAGAGTATTTAAGAACTACTCTTTTTAGAGATGAAGTAACTTTTGTAACATTTTTTACATTTTGCTTTTAAATTTTAAGCATTTTTGAGCTTAGAATTGGTGATTATAAGTTAGAGACTGGTTACTGATTGTTTTTAGGCTACAGAATGTTGAGAAGAGTGAGCTGAGGTTGTAGCTCAGTGGTAGAGCACCAGCATGGAATCTTTATAAAAGAAATTGAAGGGGCGGAAAAGGTGGCTTAGTGGTAGAATGCTTGCTTAGCATGCATGAGACCCTGGGTTTGATTCCTTGGTATCAAGTAAATACAAAAAATAAAATTATTTAACAAAGAAATTTCAGCTGGGTGCTGGTGGCTCACGCCTGTAATCCTAGCTAGTCAGGAGGCTGAGATCTGAGAATCTTGGTTCAAAGCCAGCTTGGGCAGGAAAGTCTATGAAACTTATTATAAGGTCCATTCTTGGTCAGCGAACAGACCTTGCCCAGTACCTGCTTTACCTAGGCAACTGGGACACCTGGAAGAGGTCACATCCTGCTTCAGCTGAGGTCACATCTTAATCTGATGTGGCCACACCTTTCTCCCACCTGGTCCCACCTCTTACCTGGTCCCACTTCCCTTTACCTGGACACACCTTTCCCCGCCCCTACCCTATATAAGGCCTAACTCAGGGCCAGACGCGCTCTCCTTTTTGCCAGCCGCGTGGAGTGCCAACCTTGCCTGGTCCCAGCAGGTCTACTGAATAAACCTACCCCTTACCTGAATACCACGTGCATGGTGCTGTTCTTACTTGGCTACCTCTTTTTAAAAACCTAACACTTATCTCCAATAAACCACCAGAAAACTGGAAGTGGCGCAGTAGCTCAAGTGGTAGAGCACTGGCCTTGAGCTGAAGAGCTGAGGGACAGCGCTCAGGCCCAGAGTTCAAGCCCCACAACCGACCAAAAAAAAAAATAAATAAAAAAGAAAGAAATTGCAATTTTTCCAAATCATGATTTGACTAGTCCTATTAAGAACTATATGAACTAATTTGTCATGGATTGAGTCCTGTGTTTAAACTTGTTCTAAATCATTTCTGTGTAATTTAGAGTTTTGAATATTGAAGACATGGTAAAATGAGTTCTTAATTGTTTAAATGTAGTTCTTGTGTTGGTCTTTTATCATCGAACAGAACCACCCAACCAATAATTAAGGTGTAGTAGGTTAAGTCTGATCAAGAGAAAAAATATACAGCAATTTGAATAGGGAGATTTTAATAAGGATTATTAAGTATAACTGATTTTGAGTCATGATATTTGACAAAAAGAACTTTCAAGAATGGCATATTTATGTAACAGTTGCACATCCTAGATCTGAGATAGTTCTTTACATTCTAGGGCTTTGCCAAGGGTGTGGCTCACCTAATGGTAGAAAATTCACTGTGATTCTGTACTAATAGAACTTACTGAAAGTCCTTTCTCTGGAACCCTGCTAGAAATGTGCTGTGTGGAATGTTAAGAAAGCTCATCACTGGTTTCCTGTAGCCAATTGCTCCTGTTGTACACAATGACTCAAGGCTTTTACAGCTTCTCTTCTGCCAAAGATAATTGAATTAACATTAGATTTTCTAGATTATGAGTCCCAAATGGTAGAGCATCTTGTGCTGCAATCTGGACTTGCTGTAGAATTTCTTTTGTCCTCTTCCTTTTCAAAATTGCGATCTTCTGCATTGATGAAGCAGGTCAATCAAGGTAGCATACTCGTCTATACTATTCGTTGCTTTCAAAAGCCAAAAAGAAGATGGGTAAAATCTTGTTCTGCTGCTGCTGTTTCCTCCTGTTCCTCCTTTCTCCTCCTTTTTTTAGTAGTATTTAGTATTGGATGAGGGACTATTCCCTGAACACTGGGCTAAGATCTTGATTTTTTTTTTTTTTTGATGAAACATGATATAGTTTGCTCAGCCATGTCGCTGAAACTTACAGGAAATCTATGCTTTGGAACCTGCTAGAATCCTTCCTGCTGTGGTACTGAAGGAACACTGTTCATAGGGAGGTTTCTCAGAAGAGGCTCTCTGTTATAAACCTTGTGGAGAATACCAGGAACAGCAATTGGCTGCTGGTACTGCTGCCTGCTGTGTACTGCAATGGAAGCCTGGCACTGAAGAAGCTGGTCACGGAAGAAGCCACATTCTAAAGAATCTTGTCTGTTCTGCAGGAGCCTTTTCCAAATCCTTAGGAACCAGGAGGCAAAACCCTCTTTTCAGTATTCTACTTTGCCTCTACTGACAAAGTTAACACACTTACCAAATAAAACGTTGAAATAGATCCATTTTCATATCACAATGAAGTTTTAGCTGAAATTCAAACCAACTAATAATGGGCATGTAGGGAGCTGTTTTTCCAATTGTTTCAATTCACATAGTTGTCCCAAAAGCACTTTAGTTTTCTGAAAGTCAAAGTTTCTTTCTTTCTTTCTTTCTTTCTTTCTTTTTTTTTTTTTTGTGTCTGGTCGTGGGTCCTGAACTCTGGGCCTGGGCACTGTCCCTCAGCTCTTTCAGCTCAAGGCTAGCGCTCTACCACTTGAGCCACAGAGCCATTTCTGGCTTTTTTCTTTTTGCTTATGTGGTACTGAGGAATCAAACCCAGAGCCTCAGGCATGCAAGGCAAGAGCTCTACGACTGAGCCACCTTCCCAGCCCTGAAAGTCAAAGTTTCTTATGAAGGCTGTTGAATGGTTGAATGGTATAAGTTGTTAGTCTATCCTGTGTGTCATTTACCAACTTCCTTAAAAAAAAACAGGGAAGTAGGTCTGTTATGTCTTTCTTCTTTTTCCTCCTTTTTCTCCTCCTACATTTCTGCTTTCCTCCTCATCGTTTTTCTTTCTTCTTCTTCTTTTTTTTTTTTTTTTTTTTTTGGTCCTGGGGCTTGAAATCTGGGCCTGGGTGCTATCCCTGAGTCTCTCTTTGCTCAAAGCTAGTGCTGTACCACTTGAGCCACAGCACCACAGCTTTTTTTTTTTTTTTCCTGAGTGGTTTATTGGAGATAAAGAGTCTCACGGACTTTCCTGCTCCAGCTAGCCTTGAACCACAATCCTCAGATCTCAGCTTCCTGAGTAGCTAGGAGTACAGATGTGAGCCACTGATGCCCAGCTTCTCCCCTTCCCTCCCCTCCTCTTCCCTCCCTCCCTCCCTCTCTTCTCTCTCCTCCCTCCCTCCCTCCCTCCCTCCCTCCCTCCCTCCTGCAGTTTAATAAATGCTTATTAATATTCTCTTAGTTGAAGATGTGTTAGCAGTGAGATAACTAATCAAACATCCTGTAACTTGAGTAGAGCCTTTTATTTTGGGTCAAAATTCATAATATGATCCTCTTATGGAACTCATGGATGAATGGATCCACAAGCCAAAGAAATACCTAAGATTTTGTCAGTTTTTATGATGTCTTTTTCTACCTGTTGAGTGGATTGTTTCATAGATGGCCACTCATTAGGGGATGTTTTGTTTCCTTTACATAGGACAGAAAGAAGTACACCATACAGATGTCCTTGTCTGTTCATGGTCAGTGATTTCTAGACACTGTATTATATTAACTAAGACTTTGTTACTCCAAATCTTATTACTCCTTTTTTTTTTTTAAGTCGGTCATGGGACTTGAACCAAATCTTATTACTCTTGATTATGCTATGACTGCCATCCTTTTATCATTTAACTTTTTTTTTGGTCCATGGGGCTTGAACTCTGGGCCTGGGCATT